GTTTGTCGTTGCTTTTCTTTTGATTTTGCCTGTGTGTGTGTGTGTGTGTGTGTGTGTGTGTGTGTGCCTGCGTGCGTGCGTGTGTGTGTGTGTGTGTGTGTGTTCATTTTACTTTGTTTATATGCTTCATAAATTCTTTGTTCTAATCAGTTTACCCACAGCCCAGCATTAGCATGTCTCTCTGTGGGTCAGTAATGAGAGCTGTTGCACGAAGCTCGCTTATCAGAGCCCCGAGTAGTCAGTGTTGTTCTGTCAAGTTTGGCTTTAACAACAGTTTAGTTATTCCCTACTTGCATATGTTATAGAATAATGAAGCAGATTATTGACACAATATTGTGTTGCTTTGCCTCAACAACACAGCTTGTCAAATTATTTGAATACATTTAGCGTTATTTCCTGTGATGGTTAAGAGAACCAAACAACATGCATATTAAGACTGAGGGGGCCTCTGAGGACGCTCAGGCTTTGAATTTCACCAGAGGAACTCGAAGGCAGATTCTCATAAACAGCTCAAGTATTTAAAAGTGTGTTTACAATGATTTAAGATTCCTTTGGACATGCACCTACACACACACAAACACACACACATTTATCCTCACATACAAATATTTAGTCTTCTTCTCGCATCATTTCCATCTCCCCTCGCTCCCTCTCTCTCATCTGCAGGCTGTTTCTCTATTCAGCAATAATTTCTTGCTCAGAGGTAAAAATTTGGTTGATCCCTGAGAACAGAAGATTTCATGAACTCTTCAGCTCTCTGTCTTTCTCTCACTCTGATGACGTCTTTGCTTCTAAGTTGCTTAGCAAGACTTAGGGAGATGATGTTGTAGATCCAGTGCTCCCCTCTTTCTACCCTCTGGAGACCCTGCTGCAAACACAGAGTACGGAGCTAATGACTGAGGAGGCCTTTGACACGAAGATGCTTGACATGCTCCTCGGGGTCTGGACTAAAGACTTCCCTAACAAGCTCTCACACGCTCACCCAGGGTCGTATTAAATCCAAACTTTGGCACCTTTCCTAATTACTGAGAACAAACCCAGAGCCAAGAGCCTCTTCCTAACCTGGACTGAACTCCCCTCTGCAGCGCAGTGTCCCCTGAGCATGGGATGATATATGAAATGCAGAATTCAAATTAGGCTGACGGAGAGCAATTACTGTGGAAAGAAGATCCCTTACACTTTGGGAAAAAAGCATACAAATCCAGATACAGGGTATACGTGAATGTTTTATCTACGCCTTCTCATTCATATGCACTCTGGCCACCTCCCACACCTAACTATTCTTTTCTTTATTATCCTCTGTTTTTTTTATTTCTCACTGGAGCATAGGTCTAAGGTAATTTTCTGTTTCTCTCCATCTGTCTCCTTAGGTGTCCCCTATCTCACATCTTACCTCTCTGCTTTCTTTCCTGGTTTTTCCGGCCCTCTGTGTGCTGTACTGCATGTGAGGAAAGAATGGATTGTTATTTCCACCACATTACCATCAGTGGAGTCTAATTTATGGTGCCCATAGAGTGGAGTGTGCCCTATTAAAAGCCTATTTACAGTCAAACGGCAAGGATCACTGAAAGCAATGACGGTGCTTTAACTGTAGTTGACTTCAAATAAATATTAGGAGGCTAAGGAACACTAAGCAACAATGAGTAAGCAACAAAAGACAAATGTAAACAACTCAATTATTTTTATACATTTAGAACTTCTCTGCATTCATATCCTGCAGCCAAAAGCTACCAAGATATAATGCAAAAAAACAGCAGTGTTTCCCCTAGGTTTACGCCGACACAAACACTTCTTCATCTTCTTGAAGAATCTTGGTGTTCATGCGTTACTTTTAATGACAGCTGTCCTGTTCTATCGGAAAGGTATCCTTAAATGACTTCTTTCCCTGATTTCCGATTCTATCCACTATCCTATCTCTACAATAAAGGCACAAAAAGCCAAAAAAAAGAAAAGAAAGAAACATTAGGGCCGCCCCCCTAATCTAATGGTAGGGGATTCATTGATTGACTAAATCAATTTAGTCATCAATGAACCCACCCACCCGTCATTCTCTCCAGTCATTCAGCGTCTCGTTCTCTCATTAATGTATAGTTCAACATCCAGAAAGGGTAGCTTAATAGAACCGTTTAAACTATTGTGATGCTGAGAATTGTTGAATGCACGCTGAAGGACTGGGTTAATTATTCTGAGTCAGAGTTGCAAATATTTCCTGAATTATAGGCTGGATTAATTGAAAGCTCTCCAGCATGTCTCTGTAAGCATCTGTCTAATCTGTTAGTCAGCATCCTCTCATTTTCATGTCTCTCTCTCTCTCTCTCTCTCTCTCTCTCTCTCTCTCTCTCTCTCTCTCTCTCTCTGTAATGATCAGCTGCTGTAATCAACCTCCAGTCTCCTCTCCCCTCCTTAAGCTTTTTCCATTTTTATATGTCTTGTGTCATTAGCTTATCATCCCCTTTCTCCTCTCATTATAGCACAGTATGTTTGCTCAAAACCTTCATTGTAATGCACTTAGAAAATCAATTATAACTCTGTAACACAATACTGCACATTTCCACTCCCAGCTCCTCTTCTTAACTTCTGCCTCCTCCTCCTCCTCCTCCTCCCTGCTCTTATAGTATCATCCTGTTTGTGTGTAAGCATCAGATGAACTTTGTTTCTTGTGTTCGCCCCAGGACATCTTTTTGGGGTTGAGCAGCAGATCCAATCTCAGCTTCCCAATCAGAGGTAGTAAAATCTCGTCAATCGCTGCAGCCTCAGAAGCGGATTCAGCCTTGCTTGGTCAGATAAATCTTAGTAGCTCTTTCTTCCCCTATTCTCTTTTCATCCTGGACCCCCTCAGTGGCCCACATTAGACCTGCAGATGGCCAGGGGAGATTTAGGAGCTGCAATCTATCAATGTGATGCTTCCTGAACCGTTGGACAGCCTGCTCCGCTAACTTCTCCTTCCAGCTGGACCGTACCACCCTCCTTTAGGCTCGCCTCAGCTAAGCTTGGCCCACTTAAGTAAAACTTTGGCCCTGCATTGGCCCCTTCCTGCCCAGTGCAAAAAGTCATCTCTCTTTGGATTCCCGTTGTAATTGCAGATCAACCAAGCTGCACGAGCTCAGCTAATTATCTCCCTTTCTGTCTGTAAGACCTAAGTCTGTAGCTTTTACGTAAGTAAATGATTTGAGCACAAATCTGTCTGCCTCTTTAGTCTCCTACACTAACAAGTTTTTGATGCAGCCAGACATCTGCTGTGGACTTTTTATCCTCTCCCCTCAGAGAGAGCAAGTATAAACACACTGCATTTGATGCTATAATGAAGTCTTATTTTAATAAGTGTCATAAAAGTTAATGGTCTTATCATTCAAACAAAGAGGGAAAGGTACCCTTGGCCCTGTGACAAACGCTAAAGAAGAGAGCACTATTTCCAACACCTATCTGTTGAACGTCTCTTAACACCGGGCATGTTTATCAAGGCGCCTGAAATATTTAACTTGAACTTGAAACATCTAAATGAAAGCCCGGGTTAAAGCTAGTTTAAGAGTGCTTTCTTCTTCCTGTGATGAGATCTGTTTCTTTTCAGTGGCAGTGTTATCTAAAACCACCAGATCATTAATTTGCTCATTTTTTCACCTTTTTTTATTTCTTGTGTTCCATATCATCCCATATCTAAGATTGATAACATGCAATGCACAGATTGGAAATAACACAGCACCTCCACAAACCACCCTTCTTAAATAAAAGCTCTTCTTCCTGCTCCGGGCTGTCTGATAGACACAGAGTGAGATTGGTTCTGTTGAATAAGAGATGAATCTCTCTGGGTGTCACCATGCCGCTACGACCTCTGAAATATCATTATCTACAGGGGAGGGAGGTTAACGTCTCTAATATAGCCTGAATACAAGAGAGGGGTGCCACAACTGAACACCATCCGGCTTTATTAGTGCTATATGTCAGGAACAGTCGTGTTTTTGTACAACGACTGTGGTATATGCATTATCTCAGAATATCTAATCTGTTTCCCACAAACATGATGTACAGCCTGAGGGATAATTGCAACGTTTCTGCGTTTGATCACCCTGAAAAAAGATAACTTTATCTTGTACTTGAACAATCCAACATAGCATGTGTTGCAGTTTCTGCCAAGTCCTTGAGCGTCGCATGTTTTAGGCCACTATAACAGTATTTAGGGTTGTTACCCAATTAGTATTCAAATGATTAAGCCTATTGTCAACATGTTCAAAGGATTCATGTTTCTTTTTATTATATCCATAAAACTTCTTAAATATATGAATTACAAGACAAATAAAAAATACTTTCATTTGTGTTAAATCAACTACATTTCGTACTGTGATGATAGCTATAGGCCTACCTGAAAATTAATATTGTATTAACATCCAATTTGGAATCATAGCATAATTCATTCATATTTCACTCAAGGTTTGAAACAGACTGAATCAATAATTCAGTTAGAGTGGAGGTGTGCTACAGGCATCCCTCCAGTGGTTTACTGTTGGTTTGTACAAACTTAGAAGTGTAAATTATCATCATAGATTTTTCTTTATGAGGCCATGAACTGTCTTCTCTAGTGACTCCTATAACTTTCAGTAGCTGCAACCTACAGTCACCTTCCTCAAACTTCCTCTGTCTTTGGTTAAAGTGCGCAATGTTTTTGCTTCCTCATCTTGTTCTGAGCTTCAGAGTGGCCAAACACTCTTAGTCTTTTCATGTTTGTTTTGCTTTGACCAATCTGTAAGCTTTCAAATCTAATGTGTGCAATAAACTACCCAACTTTCAGATGTTTAGGGATTATTGATTTATTAACTGAGTCTCATGTGAACTGTAGACAATGTGTCTAACGTAAAGTCAGAGGATCTATAGAGCAGTTTTGATCCATTTCTTGCAAATGTACAGAAAACATAAGAATACTAAAAAGGGCTCCAAACATGATGTCTTTTCCCCTTAAGCACCACTAAAGTCACTAAATGCTCTCTCTTCTTTGTTTCCTATGTCAGGGATGCTCACTGTGGCCCAAAAAGGTTTCCACTGTCTCGACACAGAGAAACACTGCAACCCCTGTCTTGATGCAGCCAAAGCCTGCAACCTCAATGGCAGCTGCAAGAGGCAACGCTCAGCCTACATTGCTACCTGCAGCAAGGAGGACACCAACAAGGGCGAGTCCTGCAGTAAGAAGCGCTGCCACAAAGCGCTGAGGTTGTTCCTGGACCGTGTGCCCACCGAGTTCAGCCACCGGCTGCTTTTCTGCCCCTGCCAGAGTGAGGGCTGCGCAGAGCGTCGCAGGCAGACGATCGTTCCTGATTGCTCGTATAAAGATAAGGAAAAACCCAACTGTCTGGAACTACGGAGGGTCTGCCGCCAGGACTCTCTGTGCAGGTAGATGCAAGGGATATGGTAGTGCTGGTTGGGTGTGTGTGTGTGTGTGTGTGTGTGTGTGTGTGTGTGTGTGTGTGTGTGTGTGTGTGTGTGTGTGTGTGTGTGTGTGTGTGTGTGTGTGTGTGTGTGTGTGTGCGTGCGTGCGTGCATGTGTGTGTGTGTTTGTGTGTGGGGGGGATACAGGAAAAGGAAAAAGCTTTCTTTAGTGTATTTGTGTAGTATTTATAGGGCAAAGATTCTTTGCGTCTATGCATGTGCATTTCTGTTTTCTTCTGTGGATGGAATGTTGAAAGTGTGTCTGATGAGGTGAGGAGTTATCATCATCTTATATTCATGTTAAATACGAAAAAAGAAAATTGAATCCATGCAAAAGAGGGAGCTCATGTTTGATAGCCTGTCCTGCCACATCCCTGATATCCTGATGTTGTATATTTCCATTCTGTGAGTTTGCCAGCAAAGTAATTAGACGTCCAGGGAAGCTGCAGCTATTAGATACAGGATGAAGATGTGAGTCTAAGTTGAAGGGACAACGCTCAATTAAGCTGAACAAAACATTAGTGGATCACGTTGCCAGTATGGGGCCGCTATTGGATTCATGCAGCCGGATTCAATTCACACCTACCCAGCCGTGACATGTTTCCCTGTGTTAGTGCCGCTGCTGAGAGCAGGTGAAACACAACGGTTGTTTTTTAGCCCAATCAGCTGTCAAGATCTTTTAAACCACAATGAACTGTGTTACATCTGGCTAGCACAAGAATGTATGCTGTGAGTTCATTAGTCTGTAGCCTAAGAAATGTGGGTCATTGGAATAATGTGAAGCATTTAAAAGCCCATTTATGAGCGTAATGGAGTTTGACCAAAGTAGTTTCGCTCCTAAAATTAATACTCTAATATGATAGGAGTTATCAGACAGGGAAACTTTTTCAAGTCCCACAGTGACAGATTATTAGGCAATTGTTACAATTCAGTAACAAATAGTGTCTTGTCTTGAATGAGTTTGTGGATTCAAGCAAGAGGCTGTCAAAATTTGATAGTCGAGGAACACGAAAGCGTCTTAACTGTTTTCTTTTAAACTTGCAGTTAATTGCAAGGAAATGAGACAGAGGCTGCCTCTCCAGAAAACCACTTTAAGTTTTTGTCAGCTATTGCGTTAATAGGGCAGGTTTGGAATGCATTTGATACATTTTGACTGTGACCACAACAACAGACATATTAGAGAAAATTGCTTCAAGCATATTCTATCCCCACATTTTTTTTTATATTTTGCACAGTAAAAATAAATAACAATGAAAGAAGTACTGATACAAGTGTGAAAAAAGTCATGCCACCTCTGCGTTGATTTTGTCTTTCGTCTCTTTTGGATAACCTGTCTGAATCAATTGTTGCTGTAAGAAATTAGAAGGATTTACAGTCACATGGAATTCTATTTAGTCTTTCTAACCATGCACACTATTTCCTTCTTTGAAGTTTATCGATGCTACGTCACATTTATCCTCTTTCCATAGAGCCTCGGAGGCTGAACGTTAATGGCAAAAACCCAATTCCTCTCCTCTGACACTAAATCCAATGGCCATGCCGCTAAGTAGAGAAACCCTATCACCTCCTCTCCGATTTATGATTGTCTTAATAATTACCTGCTCGCCTGCATTGTGTAATCTGTTTTCAGGCTGAGTTGCTTTCTTTGACCTTTGGGCCTGCAGGTGTCTGCTGTGCACCTCCTTATTGAGAAAGATGAAATAGAACGTTAAAGCTCATTATCTGTGGCTGCGTTGTGCCCCGCTGAGGTCAACAGCTCGATGAGCACACACACACACACACACATTATGGACACATGCTGGCCTCCACCGACAAGCATTCAGCAGTCATACACACACATTCAGACACAATCACTTTGAGCTTGAACGTGACTCAGTGTTTGGTGTTTTTTTCCCCTGCAGTGACTAAGTGCTGCCATGCAAGAGAATTTCTAAACGATTCAATTAAACTGAGAAGTCATTGGTCAATGTCGGGCTGACAATGGTCTCTGATTGGTGATTTTATCCTGCCTGAAGGTGTCCACAGTCACCACCATCTTGTGAGAGACACTCCATGCGTCCTCTATCTGTCTCAATGTCCTTCATCTGTGAATCCCTGAAAGTCCTAGATCCTGGAAGACCTTGAAAATATTCAGGCAAAATGTCCTTCATTTGTTCTGAATTTCCTCTACATTTTATGAGCAAATTTAATTTAGGACCTTTTTGTTATGCTGATGGTGACTTAGTCCACAGATCTCTGGTAAAATAGGCAACTTAACAGCACTAGAAAAGGCATTCCCAAAACTTTGAATTCACAGAAATTCCAGCACCCTCAATACACCAACAGAATAACTTTCCATGGTCCTGTTCTCTCCTCTAAGAGATGTGTTGATAAAAGCAAGAGATACTCCTTTAACAACAGGCCCTGTCTTCCCTGGGGACACCCTGTCCAAGTCCAAACGGAGGGAAAGCACAAGTATTCCAAGCCTTTTTCATTTAACACGGGGGATTGAGAGGGGAGAATACAATGGGAGGAGGAAGAGATTTGAGAGGGAGGAGAGGGAGGAGAGGGAGCAAGGGAGGGTTGCAGAATCGATGTGGGCTGTTAAGCTACTGCAGTGGGTTGGAGGTCAGTGGTTTGGTCACACAGCTATGGATCTTTGCAGCAGACCCTGCAGGCCACTGCTAACATAAGCTTAACACCCCACAACCCACTGTGACGAAAAAAAAGGTCATAGAGCAAAAAAAAATCCAAGTCCAATAGGTTTAAAAAAGTATACCTGTCTATTTTGTTATTTATTTTAAGCTTGGAGAGACCAGCAGTTCCTTGCTTTACAGTATGGAAAAAAGTCTGCCAGATTGCACCTTTGGAGACCGTTCAGATTGTTCCAGGTGGAGCCCGAGGCTCAATCAAACAAAAAATAATCATTTGAAAGGCTTTCAAATGTACAATTTTGGCTTGGGCTTTTGTGCCATATTGCACGGAAAGATTTCATTTTCCTCCTGGTCTCTGTGGAAAAAATTGTTGACATACTCTGGAGATGTTGGGACTGTAGATGGACAGAGAACAAGCACTTAATGGAGCAGCTCTTATTTCTTACGCCTGGTTGTTCTTTTGCTGCAGTTATTACGTTATTTCCTTCCATATTTCTGCACTGACTGACACAAACGGACGCTCCCGTGTTTGTTGCTGCTCCTTCTTTCCTCTCAGCTTCTCCACCTTGTTTTTCTCACCATTCTTCCAATGGCTCCAACGTCTATTCATATGGGAACTGTGAGTCCACAGCCAAATAGGATATATTTGGCTGTGCTGTTTTGGGTTGTCGTAGTGTTAGCGTGTGGATGTGTGTGTGCATGCATGTATGCAGGCAGAAACACCCCCTATCCTATGTCAGTCCACACAATACAGGTCCAATGAAGAATATAACCCAGAGAGCATTGAGTCATATATGTGTACAATATTGATTGTCTTTAAGGATCAATGCAACACTTCAATCTTTGATTTATATCCCATGGTCTCTGAGCTCTCTGGGTGCCCTTTGATTGAGTTCTTTGGCCACTGGTTATCAAAGTGGAAAGCTGAGAGACAATCGATCACTGTACAGGTAACCTGACCCACTTTTGGAGATAGAGGCCTACTTTACCAGGCTTCCTTTGCTTGCAGAAAACTCAGAGTGTACTGCATTTTCTCTACAGAAACACACCATGCATGCACACACTGGCCTAAATCAGTAGTCCACTCTGCTGTATCTGACAACTCAAGCCTCCACTGAGGGGAAACTGTGTTGGGAGAATCACTGGCCCAGATGGCATTACCGTGTAGCATCGGAGATAGATAGAGCCCAAAGAAATCTGGATGTTTTGGCACTTTTATCATCACTTTCTCTCACTTTCTGTCTCTCACATATATAAACACAAAAATACACTTTTGGCTCTTGTACTACTGAGGATGTGCAATGTATTTCCTGTCCACTAACCATCCGTTACCTCTAACTTTTAAATGCTCCTATGTGTTCACAGCTGCTTGCTAACTTTTGCCAGGTACCATTAATGCACATTTTAGTAGAGTTCTGTAGAGTTTAGTAGAGTAAAATGGAAGCAAAAACCCTTATGCTTCAGGTTGTGTTTAAGGACACAATACATATGAACATCAAGCTGTGTCTTGGCTTGTATAGACATCTGTATTGAGTGAAATTGAAGCATATTCATTTAGATGGACACATGAGCTTGACAATAATGAAATGCTACTGAAATGCCTGCCATGTGGAAATGCCTATGTCTACATGTAATACATTTTGTGATCTATTTTAAATAAAAGAATACTGACTGATAAAGGCAGGTTTAAAACAACATTTATTTTCATCTTTGATGATCTATATATATATATATATATATATATATATATATGATCTAAATAAAAACCTTAACTCTCAAAGAACCCTGTTGACGAATCGAGAACTGAACAAAACTGTCCACATTCCTGCAGATCGCCCTCACTATACAGAGTGTTCACAAGGATAGCAGTGTGAAAGCACAAATGCAGATTTCTCCTTACTTTACTTTAGGAGTGTGCTCTCACAGTAATATCTGCGTTGTCTCTTCCCCTTGCTTTCTATACACGCAGTAAAGGAGAAATGTCTTTTCTGATATCGTAAAGCTCTGGTTTTGCAAGCAAAGCATGTGTCAATTGGTGACCTTTTCCTCATACATAGTACAGTTTGCTGCATCCTGCAGCTTTAATCAGACCTCAGCTAAGGCGGAGACGTGCTCAGCTTTCCATCTACACACAAGAGCGGAAAAACAGGGCGAGAGGAAAGTAAAAAAGAGAGAGAGGAAGAGAGGTAATGAAAGGGATGGGGCAGGAGCTGGAAAGAAAGAGTTGTGCATTTAATTCCGATACATGGATTAGTATATGCCCATTTACTTTCCTAACCCTAATCTCTAAGGGAACATGGTATAGTGGAAAACTGCAGTCATTACTGACTA